AGGATATCAGTTTGCAGAGCTCATGCTTCAGGACCCAGATCTGCCTCCTTGCTGAGTGGTCTCAGGCTTGGAGGGTGAGTCCTGCAGTCAATACTGAAGGGAGCACTGGCCGTATGTACCCACATCTTAGGGCATGAGAACCAGACCAGGTGGTCTGCCCCCAATTCCATCGACCCATGCCACTTTGGTTTGGCTTGGGTTTTTAACAGCCATCAACTTTCCCCAGGGGCTTTTACTTGTTTATTAACCTCTCTGTATCCATGGCAACACTATTAGCCCCATGTTCTCCCAATCCTATAGGTCAGCATGGTCCCCAGGTCCTTCTAGGGACCCCCACCACCTTTAGAAAGACTCCCATGAAATAAGGTGAACAAACCTGAAGGGCTCAATGAGGAAAGTGGTAGAGAACAAAGAAGTCTGACTCTCCTGACCCTCACAGTCACCTCCCAGGAAGCTCATGGTGAGGCCCAGGGAACAGCCTTTGAGTCACCAGACTGAAGAGGAGGGATGTGAAGGATGAAGGTGAGGCTGTTCCCTGTCCCCAAAAGGGCACGAAGAGTAAGTGTGCAAATCCGACAAGTTTCATCTCAAACTTCTAGAACAGCTTGTTAGACAAAGCAGATAAGATCCTAGAAATGGAAACAACAATCACCAGACCAGTTCTGCTGAGGAGGAAGCCAGCTGTGCCTCCCTCTTCCCTTGTTTGAGCAGGAGTGTCCTAGGGCTGGGATTTGGGTGAGAAGGGTGGTACTAATGACACAGATCTGGATTTTAACCTCAGACCTTTAACATCAAATTTGCTTTAGCAAATTTTCTATGATGAGAGTGTGGATTCAGAGGAACCTGGGGACTATACTGACCTACAGGATGGCCCAGTGACATGCTCCAGGCTCTGTAAATGGTCCTGCCCTGCCCGACAAATTGGATGATAACTGATAAAGGATTAGTTGTAGTTTCAGATGACAAAACTGGGCCAGACCAAAATGACAAAGGAGAAGGAATGCAACATGAGCAAGTGCCAAGCTCTGCCTTTAACTGACCAAGGTCACTTGACGTGAACCCAAATGAGGCAGAACTACTCCTTAGCAGCACATGGAGAAAAGATCTGGGCATTTTGTGAGCCACCAGCTCCACATACACACTGGGTGGTGTGATGCCTTAGGTGCAAATGCACCTGTTAGTAGTGTACCCCAGATGTCTGTGACTCACTTTGCAAGTTCTGTGCACTTTTGCAAAGCCTCCCCCAGGATCCCTAGAGCTTCCCAGTCTGCATGCCAGAGAGCTAGAAGTGCCTAGAGTTTGCCACCACCTCCCATCCCTGTGTGGCCCGGGACTGCCCTGTGGGACCTGGATTGGCCTACAGTCACACCTTTGCTTGATTTCTGCCCTTCCCTACCTTGTGTCCCCTTTCCCCACTCTTTATGGTCCTCATCTCAGCATGAGCTTCTGAAGAACTCAACACCAGAGTAGCCAAGGAAGGGAATGGGCCTCCTCGTTGAGGCTCTGGAAACCGTGTTTTCAGACACCCCTGGCCAGAGAGCACATGTCCCAAGCAGAGTGCAAGCTGAAGAACCTGGGAAGTAAAGAACTTTTTTTTTTTAATTCCTTTTGCCAACTGGGGATTGAACCCAGGGCCCTGGCCATGCTAGGCAACCACTCTTATCACTGGAGCCATGCCCCTAACCCTTTTGTTTGTATTCTGTTTTTGAGATAGGGTCACACTAACTTTACCTGGGTTGGCTTTGATCCTTCTGCCTCCACCTCCTGAGTAGCTGGGATTACAGACACATACTACCAAGCTAGGTTGAACTTTTAAGGAAATAAGATGTGGGGCATGATCACAACCAAGCTGTCAGGGGAAGAAGCAGCTGCTCCTATGGCTGTGGAACACCATACAGCACCACTAGCACAAGTGCTGAGCACTGACCAAGAGACAGGCTATACATGAGTTATCCATTTGATCCTCACAAAGCCAGGCTCCAGATCCTCACGGTTAGTGACTTGCCCAAGAACCCATTGCTGTCAATATGAGAGAGATGCGCACCTGTGTCCTGGCCACAGGACAGGCAGGCTCAGAGGTAACAAGTTCCAGGAAGCCAGGCATCAGCTGTTGGGGATTCAAGATTTCCACAGAAGGAAAGCAGGTGGGCAGAAGAGCCCAGGAAAAGACAGAGGGGAAATTCCTGCCAGGGCACAAAGCTCTTCGCTTTATATACTCCAGAGGACAGAATGTATCAGAACAAAATAAACTAGACCAGCTAGGACCAAGGGCTCTTCCCCACAGGGCCTGGCAAAGCTCTGATCTCCTAACTTGTATTTATTTTGAATTCAAAATAAAACAAACAAATGGACAATGAAATCCAGCACCTCCCAGAGTGAGATCTGAAAGACCCACAAAGTCTGGCCAGAAATCTGGAGTTCAAGGGGAAGAGACCTGTAAAGGAACAGTAGCCATGTTCTGTAGCCCTGACGCACTGCCGGCCTAAGCCTGGCCTGGGAAACCCAGCAAGGGGGCAGGAGTGGGTCTCCAGATCCATCCCCTGCCCCAATTCAAAAATTAAGCTGTAGTTTCAACACCACCTTACAAACATTTATCTCAGTTGCAATGAAGTAGGTGGCCAGCTGGCCTGGCCCACACCAGACCCAGCCCAGCCTCCATTCTGGTACCAGTTGCAACATGGGGATGGGTGATTAGCACATATCTGTGGAACAATGAACTCATGAGATCTGCATATGAATGACAGAAGAGAAAGTCTCTTCATGAAGTGGGTTTCACTCTTGCCAGCCAAGCTTGTGGCCCTTCCCTTGCCCCTCCTGAGCCAGCCTATCTACCTCCTCTTGTTCCAGCCAGTGGCTTCATCCTCCTGTTTGCCAAAACTAGAAGAATCTCAGCCTCCCGATCTCCTCCTCCCAATGAACAACACATGCGTTTGTGTGAACCCAGCTCCCGACAGCTCACTCCTCACCCTTGAACAAGTGCCCTCCACATTTCCCTGGGCTCCTGCCTCTTCCTTGCCAATCTCTCCTCCAGTAGCAGCCAAAGAGGTCTCTCTAAATTGAGATCTGGTCCCCAGGCCATTCCAAAGCCCCTCAAAGGCTGTGCTCTGCTCAATCATATCCATGTCTTCCCTCATGGGGCCTGAATAGCAGGGGCTCACCATAGCCCAGCAGGACAGGCACTTCTAAGCCTTTGACCTGGCCAGCCTGACTCCAGTCATCTGCCCAACCCCTCTGTGGGGTTAAGACCCCTTCTCAGCTTGGCTTCTGTGAAGACCCCCATGTCCCCACAGCCATTTGCTCTTTCCCCATCCATTCCCCTAGGCTGGGGCTCCTGGGACCTCTGTGTAGGGCCAGGCACAGAGGAGGCATGGTGACCACATGCATACCCTAGAGCTTCAGCTACCTCCCCTGTACCACAGACTAGACTAAGAGATACCCAAGAAGGGGCGCATGAGACTCCATTGGAAAGACATGTTTCCGGGTAAGAATATCCCATTGTGGATATTCTCCCCTTGTGCCTTTCTCCCCTTGTCTGGCCTGTTAAAATGCAATCCCTGCTTCAAAGCTGAATCCATAGCTCCTTAGTGAGCACCAGATCCTTGGGGAAAGGAAAAAGTAAGCCAGCTTTCAGGTCCTGTCTTCCCAGGAAGTGACCTTCCCTCTACCCGTTCCCCCCCCTACACACACACACACACACACACACACACACACACACACACACTCTTCCCAAACTGCTAGAACCTCAGCCTTCCAAGAACAGGGCCGGGTCCCAGGCCCTAACTCTACCTAGTCTTCTGGCTCCCTTGCAAGGGTAGCCTGGGGGATTCTAATCCAGGAGCTTGAGATCAACACTGGGTGCCAGGATAAAGACACAGCCTACTCCCATTCTCCCAGACCTTGAGAGAAACACCTGGGAAATGAAGTGAGGCAATGCCAAGTCCCTGTCTCCCCCTGTCCCAAAATCTCCTGGCTCCTACTGCCTGGTCCATGTCAGGACTGGGCAAAGACTCACAGACTCCCTAACCCCAAAGCAGCATCCATTTCCCACTAGGTGGGAGCCCCCATCCCAGAGCCCCCAGCCAGCCCTTTTCCCCTCCCCATCCATTTCTACACTCCCCCATGAAGAGCTGCACCAGCTGGGAATGAAGCCTTAAGTCAAAAGAGGTGACAGTGGTGTAATTTTAGGCCTGCAGCATATTTGGAGGCAGATGGCCACATGTTCTCCATTTCCTGAAGCCAACCCTTGACACAATGACCTGCAGAACAGCTGGCCCTTAGAAGCCCCCTCAACACACAGCCAGGAAGCCTTCTGTACCACTCAGGCTGCCACATTCCATGTGCTTGGCCAGGGCAGGGGTGGCCTCTGTCTCACTCTTCAGACTTCACAAAACCTGGTACCAACCATGGGTTCAATCCATGGGTTCAATCCTTCTGTCCCCAACTTGCACTGGATTGGGCACATGCTGCAGGAAGCACCTCTACTCAGCCAGCCCTGGCATTGAATCTTGGCCCACCAGTTCAAGTTGTCCACTTCAGGACTCACTCTTCAGCTATAACCTTGCCAAATGTCTGTCATTCCATCTATAAAATGGGATGAAGTAAAGACTCAACAAGGTAAGTTGACAAGCACAGTATATGCCACACAGGTGGCAATAAAGCCACCAAGAGTCCTGGGGAGAAACACAGACAGTTCTGACAGCAGACTGAACAAAGTGTTTTTTTACAGAGATAAGGATCTCTCTTATCACAGTGCAGGAACCCTGTCCCAAATTCAGAGCCCAGAAAGTGCAGAGAGGTGGCTCTTGGGAATCAAGCCCTTAAATAACAGCCCTGCTGTGTGGAGCTGGAAGCCCCAGGCTGAATCCTGTGGTCTTTAGGCAACCAATGTTCAGGTGAGAAACACGCCTGCAACGGGTTCAGGGAGCACAGGGCCCCCACTGTCCCTGGCCCTGACCGAGGGCAAAGTCCATGGGCCAGACCAGCTTGAAGACTGTAGTTCCTTACTCTGGGGCTGCCCCAGAGCAGCCGCAGCAGCTGGGTCGCCTGAGGGACTGCATGACTGCCCGCAGTGGGCCCCTGCGACCCTCCACAGACAAGCTGTCCTCACTAGCCGGAGCCCGCTGCAGCTGCTCAAACTGCATCTCCAGGTGCTTCTGGATGGCCACGCCAAGCACTTCGGGGTCCACTGAGGCTCCATACACCTCCCATGTCATGCCCTCAGCATCCCACCGCACATCCCGCACAGGAGACGATGCTTCTTCCAGGCTGGACCCCAGGGTTACCTCTGGGAACATGTGCAGGGCCACAGGTACTTCCAAGGATGGGCTGGTGGCCACAGCCTTGCAGGTTGCCACTGGAGCCACCTGCACACTGGCATCCTGGGCTGACGCCAAGCCAGGAGCCAAGTCACTGGCTGAGGTCATGGTGCACACATCTCTGGTCCTGGAGCCAGGTCCTGTGGCTAATGCCATGGTCCCCCAAGGGTGGGCACAGCAGTGCGAGTGTCCAGAGAGCCCCACGGGCAACTTACAGTGGAACTTCGCCCCGCGACGAGTCTGCAGCCCAGACTCGCTCACAGATGCCACCAGTTTGGGAAAGGCCAGGATCCCTGTGGCAGGCAGGGCGTGGCAGTAGCCACCAGCCCCTGCCTCTCTCATCCTGCAGAGCAGAGCTTCTGGGGACAGAGCATGGCAGGAGGTGATGGCTGACTGCCCAGTGGCTTTGGGTCCAGCCTGGGGACTGCTGCCGTGAGTAGTTGTACCCCCCAGGTCTATGGGTGGCACCCACACTTGACTCTCCCCCAGCACGCAGGCTGAGTTAGAAGTTCCAGCCTCTGGAACCAGGTCCTTTTCCAGGCCTTCACAGGCCTGGTCACCCTGGCCAGAAATACTACCAGGCTGCAGCTGAGCCTTGTGTTCAGGTGAGCTACCAAGGGCAGAGCAGCTGAGGCTGGTCTTCCGAGCACCACCATGACCCCGGGTCTGGGTGCTACGGACCAGGTCTGAGTGGCTCCTTTGTATGGCAGCCACATTGGGGGCCCGCAGGCGACAAAGGTCACCACTGCCCAAGGTGGACATGTTGCCCACAGTGCTGCTCCGCCAGTGGCTCACAGAACCAGGCTGTGGCTGAGGGCTAAAGGCCTGAGCCTGTTCTGTGCTCTTGGTCTGGTGCCCCACTTCTTCCGGGGCCTGGAGACTAATGCTGGCCTCGCCCGGCTGGGCCTGCCACACAGTGCTGCTGGCACTCTTGCGGAGCTCTGGCCTCTGCTCCTGGCTCTCACACAGCAGACTGGAAGAGCTCTGGGACAGGGGCTGTGCACGGGGGCTCTGGGGTGCCCGGGCACCCAGCTCAGGGTGGCTGGAGCTCATGGCTGCCTGTAGGAGAGAAAAAGGGAGTAAGTAGAGTTAGTTAGGTATTGGCACCTCAGCTGACTCTGCTCTGAGTCCACACAGGACTACGCAGTGGGGAAACAGCTTCCTTCCCGGCCTGCCTAACTGGTCAGAGACATAACAAGTCAGCGACAAGATACCAGACACTTCAAATTAAAGCCATCCTGCATTATACATGGGATGAGACTGCAAACATCTAACAATCAGTACCTTCTGGAGTGGAATCCTGGAGACCACCCACTATGGCAGCTGTTGACTCTTTACTGGTGGGCTAAATGTACTGGAGCCCTAGGGGTGAACCTTCAGCACTGGACACAGTGCTTTGGGACAACAGCTCCAAGTCAGTCAGCACAGAAATAGTGCAGGATTTTAACAGCCAGCACAGCTGCACTGACAAATACTAGCTTGCATCCTCTTGAGACTGGCAGTATCCATCTCACTGCAGAACAGGGCATCCTGGGTACAGAGTGGGGTCTCAGAGGTTTGTGGGAGGAGGAAGCAATAAATCCAGGACTGAGAATTGCTATGAGTTCTGCAGGTGCCCTGCTCACTATCCTCTCTGGCCTGGCCTGGCCTGCCTGAGCTGCCATGTCTCTAAGGCTCAGTGTTGGCAGTGGTAAAGGGGAACAGGGTTCCCTAACTCTGGGGCAAGAAGACACCCTGCCCATCAGCTCTTCAGCTGGAGAACATGGGAATCATTTAGATCTGGCTGTGCAGTGAGATACAATGCCCAACATCAAAACTCAGGTGTGTCCTCCATGAATTTCAACTCCCTCTTGCTCAGTGTGCCTATGTTCTCTGCTCCAGCGACACCCTTTCCCCTCTTCCTCTGGTTGCTGTTCACTGGCCCAGCCACAGTCTAGAGTCAGCAACCATCACCTTCCAGCTCAGTATTTCCTCCTGGGAACCTTTCCTGGCCCTCCAGCTGGGCTGAAGCATATCTGACTGAGAATTGCCAGGCCTGGATGAAACAGTCTGGCTGACCGTCAGCCTCCCCACTGAAATTGGCAAAGCCAGGCCTGTGGCCTATTCCTTGCCATCTGACCAGCACCCTGCACTGACTTGACACACAGGTGGCACTGCTATGTGCCTGACTGACTGAGAAAACTATCAAATACAATGACAAGCCCAAAGGGGAGTGGGCTGAGTGCCCAAAATGGGGTCTGAGGGAGGGCCCCACCAAGGCAGTAAGCTCTCATTGGGGGTGAGCCAGTTGCAGAAGATAGAGGAGAAGGTGCCCAGATGGAAGGAAAAGGATGGGCAGAAGGCAAAGCATCACAAGGAGCCAGTGGGCTGGGAGCCAGGTAGGGTCCAAAGGGTCTGGGTGCCTGAGCCAGGCCAGTTCTGACCAAAGCCATGAGTAAGGAAGTTCATTCCAGGATCCCTACCAAGAGGGATGGACTGGAGAAACTGCGCAGGTACACAAGGCAACAGCTTCAGTTTGGGCAATCCCAGCCCTGCCCTCCCACCTCTGGGCTGATAAGGATTTCCAGGAAACCAAACACCCTGGCCAGGTAAGCAAGGTCACCAGAAAGGGAATGTGGAAAATGCTCCAGAACTTAGTTTCTCTGTCACTGCAAGCACCTTGATGCACCCAACTCAGGAGAGCAAATAGCAAGGTGGGTTTGGAGCTGTAGTGCCAAGAGTCCATCTGGGTACAACATCCTGCAATAAGAGAAAGGCTCCACCCTGTACTGTCTGGTCACATGTGGCTCCTGAGCACCAGATAGTCAGCTACTATGACCAAGAACCTGAAGTAATTTAACTTTAGCTTGCTTTAAGTAATTTAAACTTAACTGGTCACATATGGCTAATGGCTACTCTATAGCCATTAGCTGGACCATCCAGCTCTGAACACGGCCCAGCCTGGTAAGGGCTGTCCCATCCCAGCCACTCCTTGGAATCAAAGATATTCTGGTCTCTGAGAGAGTCAGAAAAAAGATGAGGAGCCAAGAGAGGACTCTGGCCCTGTAGCTGCCCTCAAGGAGCCTAAGAAGGGCAGAAAAATAGAGAAGAACAATAATGCCTGTGGGAATTAGTAATGATAATAACAGCTCCAAGTGCCTGATCAGCCACCATGTGCAACATCCTTTGAAAATACTGTCTCATTTCACTGTGAGGGCAATCTTGTAAGTCACCATCCCCATTCAAATAAGGTCAAAGCTCAAAGACTTAGTGACCAAGGTACACAGCTGGTCAATGGCTCAGCCAGGAATCAGGTCCATGTGTGTACGAAGTTCTCTGCCCCTCCGAGCACTGTGCAGACCTCCATCCTGGCCTCTGTTGCCCTTCATAGTCATCATCTGGAGCCCTAGCACTCGGCCTAGCACCTGGCACTGAGAATGGTGTCCTTGACGTGCCAAGTGGAACAAGTGAATGAGTGGAAGCAAAGCCTGGGCCCCACCCACCCCACCTGTTTCTTAAGCTGCATGGCGTGAGGGCAGGTATACATCTGCTGGCTTGAAGTCCTATGGTCACCAACAGCCCCTGGTAGGAGGACAACCACTCAGCCGTGGGTCCAAGAACCCCAAGAAGGCCTCACCAAGCCAGCCTACACAGCCTTGGGGTGAGCCTCATCACTTTGGACCGTCCTAGAGAGTGGAGCCATAAAGAGCCAGGTCAGTCCCTGGTTCCCTGAGGAAACAGGTGGGACAAGCCTGGGGATGCCCCTAACTCCTACCAAGACCTAGTGAGAAGCCATCAGTGAAGTGAGACTTGTTGAGCCTGCCTCCTCAGACACTGCTCAGTGAAACCAATGACCACAGAGACCCGAGGAGTTCCCTTCCCTATTCCACAAGTGACAGGTGACAAAACTGAGCCCTGGAGCAGCTAAAAAAATATATCAAAGAACCCACAACTGAAAAGGGCCAATTCAGAACCCCAACAGTGTATCCTCCTACAACTTGGCCTTCCCAGACGTGGAAGAGGGAGGGCTCTGAGGGAAGTCACCTCAGGTTACCCCTGCTGACAAGGGGTTTCCTATGCTCCCTATCACCACTTTGGGTGGAGCAAGGAGAGGGGCCTCCCAGGAAGCCACATGTAAGGAGAAAGGGGCAAGGCTCTGTTTCCAATGGTGGCTCTTCCACTCCTGCATATGTATCCTCAGATGCCCACCTTAACCCTCTTTGCACCTCAGTTTCCCCAATCTTCAAAAACTGAAGTAAACTCCCACCTTGCAGGCTTGTTGTGAAGACCAAACATGATGGCATATGACTGTAATAATAATCCACTCTTTCTCCTCCATCATGAGCTACTACTTGAGTTCAAGGTACTGAAGGGACTAGTACTGGGAGGCAGAAAGACCCTTTAGAAAGCTACCAAGACACCCATAGGTCAGTTATCTTGCACCCCATCTTGGCTACCTTCATCCTGTGTCACATGCCCAGGAAGGTATGCCCACCCAGCTTCCATGGAAAAGGTTCTGGTTTCACCGAAAAGAAACTCTAGGGAGATGGTTTAGCACAAAATAAAGGAACACTAGAGCTCTTCAAATGACACCTTATGTCCTTGCTCCTACCCATTTAATGCCATGGCTGCGATGTCTGGGGTTGGTGTTCTGTGGCTGATGCTGCTTCACATTAATGCTGTCGGCAACTACAGGACAAACAGTGTTGTGTGCAGCAACCAACCAGTACCATTTTGAGTAACTGCCCCAGTTCTGCAGAAACTCCCAGCCTAGCTCAGCCAAATAGACTACTGGATCCCCTTGGCCAGAGGTTCCAATTCTCATCCAAGCAGAGAAGCCCATGCCTTTGGGGTGAGCCCAGGAGGACTCCCAAGACACCCATCTCACACCACACTGGCAATCCATATGAGTTCCCTCTTGTTAACCACAGATAGAAAAAAGTCGGGGTGGGGATGGGGCACAGAGAAACTGGTCACATGTTAAAATGTGGTAGTTACTCTCAAGGACCAGGTAGAAATAAACATCCCACAAATCCCCCGCTGCTTTGTAGGGTTGTGACAACCACCAGTAGGTGGTTTAATCCATCCCAGAATAAAAAGAGGCCAACGCAGCAGGAAGTACTCCTCAAAAGAAGGATTTGCAGAGGAGAAAAGCTGCCCATCACCAAGAGAATCCAGGTGCCTACGGGAAACATGATACAGGTCGCAAGCAGTGCCAGGAAAGGGTAGGAGGAGGGGGTACAGTGGCCCCAAAGATACCACTCTGCTCACCAGAGAGACGTCCAGCCCCAACAGCCCCAGAGCATTCTCCCACAGAAAGGTTCGCTCACACTCCAAGGGAGGTGGCTCCGGGTGGGAAGGGTAAAGTCTCCGGGGCCCACTGCCCCAGCCTAGATGCAGCCGGATAGATAGCCAGTGCGTTCCTACCTGCACGCGTGCTCTCCAGCACAGTGCCTGGCATGGGCACACGCCCCACCGTCGACACGCCAAAGGCAACGCAGGCCCGTTTGCTGGGAGCCTGCAGGAAATGCGTCCACACTCTGCAAGCCAAGCACAGGCCGTCCCTGCTCCGGGCCAAAGGCCTGAACACACCACACCAAGCAGCCTCACCCAGCCAGGGCTCCCCTCCCGGGGGGCCTCTGGGGCAAGACCCACAAGGATGTTAGGATGAAGTACCTCATCTCGGGCCCCAAGACTGGACTACCGACCCTCCCACACAGATGCAGTCACTGAAGGGAGATGGGGCCGTGGGCTCTCGGGCAGGGATTTGGGACAGAAGGGCAGGAGAGGTGGGGGCGGGGTGTTGACAGTGGAGGAGGGCGGGGTGGGGGATTTCGATGGAAGAGGAGGAGGAATGGGAGAGGGAAGAAGCGATAGCATCTGGGGTTGAGGCCGAAGGAGACGGGTCCCGGGCAGAGTAGGAAAAAATAGGAGACTGAGTAGAAACAGAAAAGGTGACAGGACAAGGCAACTGGAGGCGAGATGGGGGAAGGGATGCGGCCATGGGGGACCACTGAGCGGCCATGGGGGACCACTGAGCATTAGACCCTTGATGCCAAGGGTCTGGGCGCAGG